ACCAGTCAATCCAAGGCAAGCTTTCACAGCATTTGCTTTGCTTACTACGGTAGTCTAACTACATTTCAGGATGCTGGGGTGGTAGTCAATGAAGACAAGTCAAGTGGGTCCAATTCGCGGCTTGATTCTACAGGGTGATAGTGTAGCGTGAACAAATCGAGGTTGACTGCTGGTTTCCTTGCCCGTCCTGAGTTGCTTCACCAACCACTCAGCCTGCATATGTGCCTCGACCACTTTAAATTGAGTTCAAATGCCTGTGTTTCCAGTGCAACATCCCGGCTCCCAACATTGCCAACTTCAGCTCAGATGCATGACATTTATTTGAACCGTGGGAACGGAACTCTCGGCGCGCACGGCGGGCCTCAGCCAAATATAACCATCCATCGGCATACTTAATCCGCACCTTCACCATCGACCGACGCAACGCCGCCGTGCCCGACATCAGCTGGGTCGTGTGCCGGTGAAGCTTGTAATATCCTTTTTCCTTTTCTTTCTTTTGCCCTTCGAAACGGTTCGATTTCATGCGTTGCTGTCACCTGGCGGGCAACGAGCAGAGGTATGCTGCAGACCAAGAGCACACGGTGTGCATCTGCTGACCATGACAATTTCTCAGCGGAGTTCCATGCAGAGAATCCTGGTTCGATTCCAGGCTGGGTCATTCGTCGGCATGCATCGAGTGTTTTTTTCGTAGTCGGGAGTTTACACAAGGGCCTGGCCGGAAGTGTTACCCTCCGTTAAGTCATACTGTTCCCTCACATTCAAACCTGGTCCGCCGAAATTTTATTGCCTCCTCAATGCGCGATCCCTTGTCAGACCATGTTTGAGAGACTTACATCTACATATTTAGCTTCGCACCCACAAGATCCGCGGCTTAGGGTAAGGAATGGTACCCGCTGGATGAAAGAAGACCTGGCAGCCAAATCTCAACCGTGCAGAGCAAGTTGAAGGAGGCAAAGCTTCGTTCGATTCCACACAAGTCTTAGCGATTGGAATAATATTAATGGGCTTGAACCTCTACTCTTTTCCCATTTCCTCTGCCTACCTAATAGCCAATGAACCAAGGTGTAACATCGACCCGGCAGCACATCTGGGTGTACCTGCAAATTGTGACTTCCCCATATTGAGTGTTCACGCAGAAAACCTGGTTCGATTCCAGGCTGGGTCATTGGAAAAGGTTTTTTCCTTGGCACGCGGTAATTATTTAGATTAAATGGTTCAGTCAGTCCTTAACTTGCCTGGGAGGACATATAGGAGCACTGGACGCGTTCAATTCAAGTTCAATGATGTTTCAGAGAAGATAAGATAAGATAACCTGTCATCACCGCTGCTGACCAATTGAAACTCCGCCCACACGCATTTTCTCCACACACACTCATGGCCCGCCGCAACGCGCCGCCGAACTCTGGCCCGGCGTACATCTCGCAAAGCCAATCCCAGCGTCGCACCCTCGTCGACCCAGATGAGACTGCCTTTGCCCGCTTCCTCCGCGAGGAGGTCTTCGCACTCGACAAACGGGCAGGAAACTTGAGCCTCTTGACCGGCGTGGGCATGTTCGTGGGCGCGATGGTGGTGATTCGGAAGTGGGGCGGTATGATGGTCCCTGCTTGAGGTGCGTTCCCTGGGCTCAAGTCGATCTGTGCTAAATCTCGGTGCAGGAAGATGACGACCGAATGAATTGCACAAAATGCATGCATGCGCTGCGCTGCTCCGACCACCAATTGTATCTTGACTTGACTGCCCCCAATAATACAACGAATACGATGCCCGACGCTCCCACTCTCCAGTCCCCGCTTGATGAAAACTGCGTGTCCAGTGGTGTCGTGAATACGGAAAGTCAGATGCTGCGCATCTTACTTATGCGTGCGTCACCCGCTCCTCGCCTCTCTTTCCCTTTCCCGGTTCTGCTTCTGTGCTGAGCGACTCCACCGCGTCGGTATTCTGCTCCAGATGTCGGGGTCGCGGGCACCACAGTTTCTGCGCGGTCTGGCTGAGCTGGTGACATCCTGCTCCTGCGGCAGTGCGTCCGCTGCCTCACGACCTTGCGGTGCACATATGTGCCCGCGATGCGATGATGATGCCGACAGACAGACGACGGCTGCCTAACTGCATCGCCAGCGGCGGCGGCGGCGGACTCTACTCTCCGGTGCCATGTCCACTTCGACACACCGGCAGGCAGCCGGTCGAGGGCAATGAGCGTCGGGCACCTCAGTCGTCCAGCCAGCCTGGGCTCCTGCTTCTTCTACTCTTCTACTTTACTTGGACGGCATGACCGTCTGTGTATCTCCCGGGTGTATCGTGTATCGACAACGACGCCGTCTTGGGCGTTGGGGATGCGCCGCGCGTCGTACAGTGTCGTACAGTGTGCTCGGTTGCGCCCATGCCTCGAGGCAGACCCTTGGCGCAGACAAACGTCGCATCCCTACCGAGTCGGGAGCGCCCTGCCCGCCACCGCGGCTCAGGACGCGACCTATTACTTACATGGCCGACCGCGCGGACACGCACAGTCTTCTATGGTCGTTTTCGTCGGCCCTCGTCCTCCCCCCATCTCGTCTCATCTCATCGTCGCGCCGCTCCCTCCCTCGCTTGCCGGCCGTGCGTGTGTGCGTCAAGGGAACGCATGCATGCTTTCATTTCATTTCGTCCGTCCTTCCCTTCCCTTCGACTACATACATACTACTGCGGGCGCTGCGGGCGCGGGCGCTCGAGACCCAGTAACGGCTCTCTACCTCCCGACGCCGGGCCCGCCCTGCGACATCGGATCCCTGCCGACCGAGTCACGCAACGCCCTGCGACCACGACCGGCCGCGACTAGACTCGACCTCCAGGACGGTGGCCGACTGCGATGATCCTCGTCTCGTCCTCGTCGTCGTCGGTCCTCGTCTCATCTTCGCCTTGATCATGACCCCATGCTCCAGTACATGCCCCCTCTGCGCGTCATGATCGTTTGTGTCCGCGCATCCCTGCCTCGCTCACCACTCGCGCCCGCCTGTCGAGCGCAGCGAGCGCATCCTTCATTTCCTTTCCTTTCCCTTTCCAATTCCCTTTCATCTCGTCCATCCTTTCTACCTGCAGACCAACCAAGACTGGTATCGCCTCCCTCGGTGGATGTACATACGGCTTGGCTTGGATGATGCCGCGTGCTCTCGTCGGTCGCCGCACATATCAGAACCCTCCCTCCCCGCTCGCGCGCGCGCGCCCGACTGGATACCTACCTCGTTTTTGTCTTCGTCTTCGACTCGACGTACGGCTCGGGTGGGTGAGGGAGGTAGGCATTGCGGGTGTCCTGCGCACGCTCCCCGCCGGCGGACTATGAATATGACCCTCCCTCCGACTCACACTCGCGACGAGCACGAGCACGAGCACGACCACGACCACTAACGCAGGCTCCTTTCCTCCCTCCCTGCCTTCCCTCCTTTCCCTGTATCTATCCATGTCTCGGTCGGTACTCGTCGAGGACCTGTGACCACGACTGAAGACCGAGCCTGCCTGCCGCCCACGACTTCGACCGACGGCGCTACGACTGTACGCGACTCGGGGCGACGACTGAACTACGACTACAAGTACGACTACGACTATCACGGGCCCCGCCCTCCATCGCGTGCCTGCCCTACCAGGAACGTGCCTCGTGCAGGGACTTCCCGGCCTCGAGCGACGGACGTACTTAGCCTATGTGCGCTCATTCACCACTACCTCCCGCAGGCCTTGCTGTTTCCCACTTTTCGCATCGCATACATATTGCATATCGCATATGTACATACATCCTGATGACCTCCGTTCACACGCGTACACACCCGTACCTTCCTTCCTTTTCGTGTCCTTTCCGTGTTTCCGCCACCTTCGCCTGCGCTCTCCTCGAACAGACATAAGTACATACATTCACCCATACTTACTTACATCCTCGTCTCGACTCGGCTCAGACGGTTCTTCTGTGGCGGCTGTCACCGTCAAGGCCTATGCGGGTCCGGGTGCGGGATGGTCTGCGTGCCAGTGCCAGTGGGTGGGGCGGGTATTTTTGGGAACGGCATTGCGCTATCTCAGCCATGCGCGGGATGGGTGGGCGCAGGGAGCCCTCTGTCGACGTCGGGCGCGGATGGACGACGTGAATGCAGATCCCTTCTCCTTCGCTTCTCGCACACAAAGCACTGTTTCTTACTTATCCAAGTGCGTTCACTTATTCTCTCTGCTACATAACTGATCGAATTGAACTCAATTTATTGCGCTAGGTAAAACGAGTATATACCACTACCTCGAGCTCGGCCCCCGCGTCTCCAATTGCCGGGTGCCCAATTGAATGTGCGCGAGCGAGGCTGAAAAACACGATCACATGACCGTGATAGTGTCGAACGCGACGCGCCCGGATCGTGTGCGGCTATTACAAGAAATATCCTGGTCTCGCCGCTGGTACCCTCGATTTCTGTTCAACGCATTCACACTACGTAAAACAAAAAATCGCACAAGTTGGACTTTCTCATGGCCTGCGCCTGATTCGAACAGAGTCGCGAGTCCCGATTGCATTTGCAATTAACAGCAGGGAACACGAGAAGTGAGCGATGCATGCACCCCGCGGGTCGCTTTTCTTACTGTGGTTTACAGTGGAATAGCTGCAGGGTCTTCAATTCAACCAAAAAACACAAGCAGTGACAGACAGGCGAAGAACGACTCGGACCTGATTCGAAAAGGCACCTCCCGCTTGTTTAAAGTGCAACAACGAATCCAGTCTCAACGGAATGCGGGTGTGGGCCATTCACCGCTGAGCCTTGCCTATTCTGCAACTTCGAGGCGATAGATGCTGCTAACTTAAATTTCTTTCCAACAGGCAACAGTTCACCGGAAGATAATTCCGACTCCGGCAATGAACGAACTCGAACTCGGGCCGATTCAGATAGGTAGGTTGTTCTCTCTGGCTTTGTCTGTTACTAATCAGTTTGGAATGACTGCGACTCAGCACTTGAGTCCCATCCGGCCAAAAGGTTCACAAAAAATGATACACACATGACATATGGCTCAGGCCTGATTCGAACAAGCACCTCCTGCTTAGATTCTGCCCTTAATCCTTACTCCTACAGAATGTGGCAGGTGTGAGCCATCCACTTCCAAGCCTTGCTTATTTTCAACCAAGTTCAATCTAGTCTCTCCGGGAGAGACGCTACAGCAGGGTCACCCACATCTCGCTCTGTTTTACTCCATCTCATGGTTTATGACCCTCATACACCAGGCTTGGTCAAAGCCATGGTTATCTTGGATTCACTCGAAGTTGAACATGCATCAAAAGTCAGGCTCAAGTTGTTTCAATCTTCGTACAGATCATTCCATCCAGCGAGAAACTACAGGTAAACTTCACAGCTGTGGACAACCAGAATAATTGATGAAAAATGAGTTTAGGAGAAGCATGACTCGGACCTGATTCGAACAGATTCCTTGTCGAAGGTGCATGCCACTGCGAACATTACACAGGTGTGGACCAGCCACCACCAAGCCTTTCTCAAACACCAGTCCGAGTTCAGTATTGCAGCATCGTCATTTTCGGCGAAGATCCTGCCGGCCATGATGATCCTTTTTTAAAAAAAAAACCACTGCCATTATTCCCCGCGCCTGCCCTGCACGGCCCACTGTATTATACCAACGAATACGACCAGCGCTACATGTATTTCTCTATCTACCCCCTCCGTGCACTCAACCCCGGCTGCACCAACAACGACTTCCGCCCTCTATTCTGCTGCTGTCTCGGCCCCTCGACCGTCGCCTTTTCTTGATTCTGGGTTAGGCGATTGAAATTCAACGGCCTCAACCGTGTCGGCAGCGACATCGACATCGACATGTGGATTTTTGGAACAACGGGCACGGGCGGCGGCGGCAGCTTGGATATCGTTGTCGGGGTTGTTGTTGCGCGTGGCACGCCCGGACGCGGAAGGCGCGTCTCGACGGACTGGGACCGTTTCGGCGTGGGGCTGCGAGGAGCGACGGCGGGCACGGGCGGCGGCGGCGGCTTGGACGCTGTCGGGGTGGTCGCGCGTGTGCCCGGACGCGGGAGTCGCGTCTCGACGGACTGGGATCGTTTCGGCGTGGGGGTGCGAGGAGCGACGTCCGTCTTCGGCACGGCGGGCACGGGCGGCGGCGGCTTGGACGCTGTCGGGGTGGTTGCGCGTGCACCCGTCCCCGGACGCGGAAGTCGCGTCCCAACGGACTGCGACCGCTTCCGCTGCGCTTGCGGTGGGGGTGTAGTACCAGGGCCGGCGTCCGTCTGAACGGTGTTGCCGAGTTCCCGCTGAGTCGACGATGTCGACGACGACTTCTGGGCCTGGTGGGTGGAGGAAGCGGGGGCCGGGGCCGGGCGATTAAGCCACAGGGGCGCTGGCGCTGGCGCCGCCGCAGGCGAGCGCCCAGCGTCTGTATTGCCCGGGTGTATTAACAACGGCGGCTTGGGCGACGGCGACGCCACCATGTCGGGGATCCGCGAAGTGAGGTCCCGCTGAGACGACGACTTGCGCGCCAGACTCGCGGTGCGCGCCGGAATTACGGATCGAGGAAGTGGGTCCGACGTCCGCGTTACCAGCGCAGAGTAAGGAACGGGCGGGATTATTCGTGGAATGATTTGCTGCGGCTGCTGCTGCTGCTGCTGCGAAGAAACGTTAACGGGCGCCTGCAGGCGACTCGCTACTGGGGTTTTGGTTGAATGGAGCGGTCGGGCGAAGGCGCTCGGTGGGAAGCCCGAGGAGTTGACGCCGCCCGTAGAGCGGGAGGAGGAGGCTGCAATTACGCGTTCGGTTAATTGGTTCATCATACTTGGAGCTCTCGACGACCAGGGGTATGCACTTACGCGTTATGAGTTGAGTGCCTTCCGAGTTTGAACGCCCTCGCCCAGGTCTTCTTAGCCCAATCGGTGATGCGGCTTGGGCCCTTCTCTTATCCTGGTTGAATACAACGTCAATAAGAAGTCGTCGACGATTCCCAAAAAATCCTTCTTCGACGTACTCTGGTCTCTGCGACGGTTCTGAACGCCCTGCGAGAAGAGACCTGGGTCAGGCACACGTCCAAGGCCGTAAACGAACGTCCTCCTGCTCACCGAATCTGCAAACTCCGGCACGCACAGGAAGCCGCGATCTCATACACGCCCTCCGCCGTCTCGTCCGTCAGCGCAAGATGCATCGCGTGCCTCACAAGCGCCTGCAAATGCGCGAGCTGGAACTCCGTCGAGATGAGCAGAAGGTAGCTAAGCACCGCCGGCGCGCGCTGCAACGCCGTCCCCAACGCCAACGAATACAAATACTGCAGCAGCGCCATCGTAACCGGATACGACTGCGTCAGCGCCGCGCTCCCCTCCATAATAGCGATCTCCGTCCCGCGCTTCCCGTGCTTAGTCGCGCTCGCGCCCCCAAACAACCCCGCGCTGTAATACCGGTCGCGGAACCAGGGCCAGCGCTCCATGATGAGTTGGCGCGAGCACGGGATGCGCCGCCCGTCCTCGCAGAGAAAGGCAAAGTCGGCTCCCCGCTCGGCCCGCTCCGCTGCGAGCACCGCCAACCCCATCTCCTGGCGCTTCGGATCGAGCTTGAGGACCGGGGGCTGGTAGATCCCCAGCGCCTCCAGGTCTACGACGGCGACGGCGTCCCAGCGGAGGATGTTGTCTGCCACCACTCGTCTGGAGTCCGACGCCGCGACAGTGCGTTTGCCGAACGTGAAGAACTTGTTGCGGTCGTGCCAGATATATCCTGCGCCCCACGCGCCGGTGGTGAGCAGCTCGCCGGTATCGACGCGGAGCCATTGGTTGGATGGCAGGTCGAGGGTCCAGATGCCGAAATTCAAATTCTGCTGCTGTTCGGCGTTGTTGTTCGAATTAACAACTTGGTTACCCGCGACGACGAGGGTACTGCCCAAAATGGCGCCGCTGGGGAAGCGCAAGGACGGCGCCTCGCTCCCAGTCGTCAAAGTCTCCACTCGAAGCTCGCCGCTCGGCAGACGGAAGAACGCGTCGAGGTTTCGTGGGGAATGATTCTGCGATTGGTTGAACGGGAGTTGAAGAAACAGTTCATAAAAATTGAACCAAAAAAAAAAGACGCACGTTGTGCAGGTAAATATCGCAAGGCTCATCGTCCGTCGCCGGCTCGGAATACGAAAACGGCTTCATGTCCTCGGGACACCCGGGCGAGTGTGGCTCTGGAAGAGCACGAACATGGAAATCAGAGGTCGCGACAAACGCGTGATCGGCGTCCAACGACTGCATGTACGGTTCCCGCTGGACCCATTCCCTCCTTTCGAGGTCATAGATACAGACGTCGTCCAGTTTCGCGCCGGCGGAGTCCTTCCCCCCGATTATGAAGAGTCGGTTCCCGGAGACGCAGGAGAGGTGCGAGTACCGCGGGCGGGGAATAATTGGCGTTACTGGCGGGGCCGCCGCCGGTGTCGGGATGCGCGTAGTCTTGCGAGGAGGGGGCAGCCAGCGGCGCGTGGAGAGGTCGAAAAGCTGGACGTCGTTCAGGGCCTGCAGCTGCTGCCCATGCCGTCCCCCCGCGCTGCCAGTGCTTCCTCGCACTGCACCCAAGCCGCCGAACACAATCAAATGATTCTTCCCTACATTGGACGCGCGAACATCAGATTGATCAATATTTTTCGGGTTGAATTCAGATTGCTTCCACACGCACAGATATCAAGTGTGTGGAAGCAGCGCGGTCTGGGAACGGGGTCGTCCGCGCGCGCTGATATTATTGCCCACTTCCAGAGCTCCAGATCCAGCGCGTACATGTGGGATAGGGGCGACGGCGAGGAATCCGAAGGGAAGGAACCGCCCTGACGACAGCAATATAAGTTGCCATATAAAAATTTATGGAGGTCAACGGACGACTTACGAACAAGTACAGTTTGGAGCCAGACACGGTCGTAGAGGCGCCCTATAGCGGTTTGTACTCGTCTATAAGTAAGAGTTCGTGCATAGACTCGGAGGGGGACGCACGATTAATTCTGGAGGGACGTCTCCGACCGCGTCGTGCAACTGGATCGCCATCTCGGCCGTTGAACGACCCATTTGCGGGGGTGGGCGCAGACGCGGGGTGTGGGGAGGAGGAGGTGGTGGTGGTGGGAAGAGAACAAGACGCCAATGTCCGACGCCGCGCTATAAGTCTACCGCATCGTCAGGCTGATGATCCTTCTTCGTCGTGCATATGTAAGTTATGTTGACAAGAAGGTTTGAAGACACCGAAGTTTGTATAGGCATGGGAACAAAATGAGTTGAATGGGATAAGGACGGCGTCGGCATGAGGTGATGTTCGCAGATAATTTCGTGAGCTATCTCTCGGTGAAAAGCGGCCTATAGATCAGGGTGAACATGGCCAGACGAACTCACCATGATTTCTTGAGACCCTGCCATGTTGAGGCGCAGCGAACACGCGCCATCGCCTTCAACTGAGATGGATTCAACTGTCACACGCGTGAAAAAGCACAAGTGCGGCGGGAAGACAACAGATTTCGTGCACAGCAAAGGGCGATCGTGAATAGCAGATTGAGCCTCCCGAGCCAAGGTAAAGTTTGCTGAGGCCGTCTGCGTAGTTCCACTCGGTTGGTCGCAAGTCGCCGGTCGTGGTGATTTGCAGTTAATTTCCCGTGGCCTTGCGAGGTGCAGGCACATATTGTAATAGCAGAGTGAGCTTCAGGTCCAGGCAAGGCAGTCCTAGAGAGGGTGGTGTCCGCTCGAAGATGGACGTTGGGAAAGAGGATCTGAAACGTGATGAGCGACCACGTGACTTGAGCGCGTCGCGGCTACGAATCAACATGAGCAAACAAGTCTCTGAAGGTCGTCCTCTCCCCCTCAACTCCCTCCCACAAATGACCCTCTGGCGTCTTGGCGAAGGTTTGCGCGTTGGAAATTGTGGCGGGTCCGAAAGCGCGCCACATGAAAGCAGATGCGTATCAACTCCTGACTCATTTAACCGTGTTGTATAAAGAAAGACGCGCTTGTCCTCGACCTTCAACAACATGCCTTCCGCACATCTTGTCCCCGCTCTTCCCAACACCGCCCTCATCGTAATCGATGTCCAGCAAGGTTCAATTAATTCACTGAATCAAGCCTCTAAGCCATCCACTCACCCACCTCAGCATTCATCGACCCC